CCTAAGGGACACTTATTGTCATAACGTTAAAGAACAATACGAGAGGTGTTTTCGTTTCTTCATAAAGCTCCTTTAATTATCCCTCCAGACTGGTTACATGTTCGGTAAAGGTGTTTACTTTGCGGACATGGTGTCCAAGAGTGCAAACTACTGTCACACCTCCCAGTCGGACCCTGTTGGCCTCATACTGCTGGCAGAAGTCGCTCTGGGCAACATGTGAGTCRTAATCTGAGCATGCTAAAAAACATTATTTTAATCTTTCACTGGGTAAAATAAATACTTGTTTTTATTGCAGGCATGAATTGAAGAAGGCCTCCCACATTACAAAGTTACCAAAAGGCAAACACAGTGTTAAAGGTGAGAAACTTAAACTGCTTCTGTGTAAAATGACRTCATTTGACTTTAAATAATATTTAATGTGATTTTTATGCTTCCTGATTAGGAATAACATACATTTATATCACTAATTTTGTGTCAGAATATTTTGTAATTTGTGTTTCGTTGATGTTTTTTTTCTTCTGTTTTTTCCAGGTTTGGGTCGAACCGCTCCTGACCCAAATGCTACCACCAGTTTGAACGGGGTGCAAGTGCCTCTGGGGAAAGGAGTCCACACGAACATCGACGACACAAGTCTACTGTACAACGAGTATCCTTTCAGTTCGAAGTTATGAAGTTCTTGCCCAAGTATTTACCCTCAGGAAACCATTTTTTCCCCTACAGATCCATTGTTCATATTTYTTTCTTTCCTTAACCGCTCCTCCTCCAGGTACATCGTATATGACGTGGCACAGATAAACCTGAAGTATCTCTTGAAGATCAAGTTTAATTACCAGACATCCTTGTGGTGAAAACTYGTTTAAAGAAAGGAAAAAGACCACCGCTGCAAATGCCTGGGCTTCGTTCTCCACAACACCGCAACGTCACTGTAACGTTACTGTAACGATTATTTGAAGTCATCGGTCACTTTACGACTTCTTCATCAAGCTAGKATTACTTCAGGTGTGTAAAGATGCTCAAAGCACTGGAAAATAGCTTAATAGTAGCTGAAGCATAGGATATTAAGAAGTACTGGGAAAATCTGGTGATGAAGCTCAACTATCCAGTGTGTTGTGTTTAAAAAAGACTTCATTGTTGTCTAATAAACCTTTAGTTCAGTGCTGTTCAATYCTGGTCCTGAAGGTTCACYATCCTGCATGTTTTAGAGGTTTCTCAGCTGCAACACCTGATTTCAATAAATAGGTGATTAACAGCCCTGAAGAGGCAACTTGGGTGTCTTGGAGCAGAGAAACGTTAAAAATGTAGAATAGTGACCCTCGAGTACCAGAATTAGACATCTCAGCTTTAGTTGATTCGTTGAGTATTACTTTACAACCAGCTMATCTGAGCTAAATTAGTTTTCTGACGTTCAACTTCCCGTGTTCAGATTTTTTAAGGGTTTCTCCTTGAAGTAGGCAAGGTGTTTTGAAGATCCTGTAAAAGAGTTGACATGTATATATTTTTGTTGTGTCAAGCTGTGTTCCTTGCTGAAGTTTAAAAATAAAACTGTTCATCCAAAGGTCTTTTGCAAAAATGGCAATAGTGATTTTTTTTCTTAGTCTTCCTCTTGTTACCTAAATCAAAAATAAATAACTTCCTGTAATTTTTTGTACTTGTACGTATCTGTTTATTTGCCTGTTAGCAAATATCTCATGGACAAACATGMATTTTAATGTAACTTGTAAGAAGGTTGCACATTTACAACTAATTCATCAGTGAACCAGATTCAGTTTTACAGATGGTAAGCTAATTTTTTCTTATTACTGTATTTTACAAATATAACTATGTTTTACTATAATATAATAAATAAAAACAGTATGCAAATGGGAAAAGTATATATGGCAATGAAAACAGCAACTGCCCTTATCATGTAATCATGCTGGCAGGTTTATTATGTAAGAATTTTTATTACAAATAAATATGCAGCAAATTATATAAAAAAAGGTGACACGATATAAAAATGCGATTTATATTATTACATATTTTTACAGCTTTATTCTACCTGGCAAATAAGGGTCCGTGATATTAAACATTTTTCTGAGCGTTTCCGGCCCAATTTATTATCAAAAAGTTATAATTTGTAAGTAACTTTCGTAGCAAACACGCCGCGGTGACACAAAGCGGGTTTTGCACGCTTTGTTGTGTTTATTTGATTGATTTTCGTCTCTTTAATCGCACCCCGGACAGGTTTTCCACCCAGAATGCATTCTGACAAAGCCTTTGAAAAAGCGGCGCGGCTAATTCAAGATGGCGGAGATGGACCAGCTGTTAGACGAGAGTGAGTAACAACACAAATCCAGCCAGTTTCACAGCGTGAACGAGCTGCGGCCCTTGTTTGTGATGAAATAAAGGGCCGGGGGAACAACCGACAGCCCTGGTTATGTGGCGCATATTTTAAGTTCTGAGYTGGCTTCATAAAAGCCGCGTTTAGACGTTGGGACACCGGGTCTTACGGTTGTTAGCACGACAGGCTAAACGTAGCTAACACTGGAGTTGAAGAAGTTACTTCAGCTCAACTGGGTAAACAAATGTCGTTAGCTTAGCTATGAGCTAACGGGGGCTAACCGTAGGACGCGAGTAACAACAAAAKGATTATTACAGATATTGTTTGCTTATTTATTTGTGTAGTTGGATACAGCTTATTTAAGTTAGGCTTTTACAGTTTTTAAATTAATTAGTTTTTTTAATAACACCTGGCGTGATCTAGCTAAATGTAGCTAATTGGGTTTTTATCTTCAGTTTGTTGTAATGTCTCGTTTAGTTCTAGTTTTTGGTACCGTTTGTCCCAGTCTGTGTTTGACATCTCAAACTTGGTGTAAAGGCCCCACTATCAGAAAGCTGTCAGTTTTAAGGACCATGTTTTTGATTATTTATTGCCCAAATGAAGCTACAGTGCAGCATATTATCGCAGTGAAACGTTTTCTTTATTATAAAAACGCTTTTGTTTCAGTTTGCCAATATTTCCTCATTTGGTAATGTTGCCTAAATGTTTGTAACGTTTCTTTAGGCTCCTCGGCTGAGGCACTGGTCAGTCTAAAAGGTATGTGGCCATGTTCTTTTGTCTTTTATTCAACTGTAAATACAATAAATGACTTAAGCTCTTCAGTGCAGGAAGGACAGTAAGCAAAAATTCATAAATTAAACAAAATCTATACTTCATTTTTTTTGCCATACATTATTTCTACTCTCCTGACTCAAAAGCTTTCCTGTGGCATTCAATGGATTCAGTTGAGCACTTGCTTTGTTTACATTGAGTGTGGACCCACATTTCAGAACTTCATGCTAATACAGTATTTCTGGAAAACTACTGCAGTAAACCTCATTCAAACTGTGTCATTTGGTATTGTTCAAGATGAATTTTTTTACGATATGGTACTTTAGTACCATATCGTAAAAATGTTCACTTCTCT